GGGACAGTGCTCTAAGGCTAATGAACTGAGCTAGCCAGCCGGGGCCTGCTTGTTTAAGAGGGTGTCTATGTGTGTTATACACATAGATAGGTCAACCTGTGTATGTCCTTTTTGAAATCTTTGATAAAACTCACAGAGCTTCTTAGTTTATGCTTTTAAATCGCCGTGGCCCTTTCCCCCACATTTGCACATACAGATCTTCTTTGGTTCTTGTGGGATTAGTCACAAACAGATGTCTGTCCCTCTAGATCTGGATTACAATTAACTATAAATTAGTAAAAGTGGCATACAACTTCAGGGCTAACCCTACAAGTCTCTGTCAGTGTAAAAACAAATACAAGGCCTTAACTTTTTATTTTAACTTTTTCTTTCTATGAAACTCAACACAGTATCCTCTGACCTATTAGCTTTTACCTCCCCCTCCCCCCCCCCAAGAGTATATTCTTGTGTGTATTTCAGTGGTAAACAGTAGTCCATACAGTATTTACTTTGGTGTCAGATAATCCTCTGTTCAAATCTCAGATCGTGCGCTTCCTGGATGTGACTTTGGACAATAAAATATCTGAAACCTCAGCTTTCTAATCTTAAAAAAGATAATATTTCATTGGGCTGTTGGGAGTTTATTTTATACTTCATACACTTATTCAGTTGCTCAACATAAGAAACATTCCCAGCCCTAACCGGTTTGGCTCAGTGGATAGAGCGTCGGCCTGCGGACTCAAGGGTCCCAGGTTCGATTCTGGTCAAGGGCATGTACCTTGGTTGCGGGCACATCCCCAGTAGGGGGTGTGCAGGAGGCAGCTGATCGATGTTTCTCTCTCATCAATGTTTCTAACTCTCTGTCCCTCTCCCTTCCTCTCTGTAAAAAAATCAATAAAATATATTAAAAAAAAGAAACATTCCCTGCCCTAGCCGGTTTGGCTCAGTGGATAGAGCATCGGCCTGTGGACTGAAGGATCCCAGGTTCGATTCCCATCAAGGGCACATGCCTAGGTTGCAGGCTTGATCTCCAGTAGAGGGCAGCCAGGAGGCAGTCAGTCAATGATTTCCTCTCGTCATTGATGTTTTTCTCTCTCCCTCTCCCTTTTTCTCTGAAATCAATAAAAAAATATTAGTATATTCATTTTTATTGCATGTAAATGGATAATTATTTTGTATTATAAACTCACAAGAATTTTTGTGAGTTTATTAGAGCCAAACTGTCAACAATTGCCTGGAAAGCAAAACCTCAATGGATTAAGGTAATACTCTAGAGAATGTCAGTTTTACTTTTCTTAAAATATATTTTTATTGATTTCAGAGAGGAAGGGAGAGAAAGAGAGAGGATCATTGATTGGTTGCCTCCTGCATGCCCTCTACTGGGGACTGAGCCCACAACCCAAGCATGTGCCCTGCCCGGAAATCGAACCGTGATTTCCTGGTTCATAGGTTGATGCTCAACCACTGAGCCAAACTGGTCATGGGAGAAAGGCAGTTTTGCATCTTATTTTATACGTTACAATCAGAAGATGCGAGTGGGTTACATGAAATTCATTGGTGATAGATTAGGGAGGTGGGAGAAAGCACAAGCCAGGAAGCCTCTGGGATTGAATGAAAAGTAAAATGATAGACACATTTTATACCTAGGTGGATACAGGATAGTTAACACTTAACAATTACATGGTAACAATAACAATGAGAGGATTTATGGTCTCCACCAGGGTGCGTTGGTTGTGCCCTGAGGGGTCTGGAATGAAAGGGAGTTACCCTGACATTCCAAAGGAATGTTCTGGCACACACAGACACATCAGAGAGAGGCAGGCTTACAGAAGATAAAGGCTGACTTTTGTCAGGGAAGTTTCTAGCCTAGGACATGACTACCTGCCATAAACTGCTTTTAGTTAAAAAGTTTTAATTTCAGACCATCTTTTGTGATTATTTAGGTCTCTGAGTTGGCAAAGCCACCACGAAGGCCTTTGCTGAGCTTGTCTGGTTGGCACGTGGCTCCCTTTCTTCTAGGACATGTACACATAACTGTAAGACAATTGTGTGAACACTGGTCAGGGCCTAAAATCTGACCTTTGGTTTTCATTGGTGGCTGCTGTTCTTGTTGTTGTTGTTGGCTGCTGCTCTTGATAGTATGTCTTTTCTACCTAATTCTGCTTTGACTTTTTGTTCCCCAAACAAACAAACAAACCATCCCTGATTTGTGCATTCTGAGCTGGCTCCTACAGACATAGCAGCATGGTCTAAGACAAAGCAGTAACATTTAGAGTTCGATGTCCAAGGTGTTGTTTACATATTAATAATATTAGCATTTCTTTTCACTTTTCTTTGTCGTTTCTAATCTACTGCACTTGAGCTTCCTGGTCATTTGACCCCCATAGGCCCTGCTTAGGCTGGAGGCAGAATTGCAGTTAGGAGCCAACTGGCACCACTGGGGTAATTTTAGCTAGTGATTCTATCAAGACAATGAAATGCTGAATAAGTAACCTGTGATAAATGGTTGTGATGTTTGTTAGAGGTTCGGATGATTTTTTTTAAATGTCTTGTAGTTTTTATTGATTTTTTTTTTTTTTTTTTTTTGAGAGGGAGGAAAGGGGAGAGAGAGAGAGAGACAGACAGACAGACAGACATCATCTGGCTGCCTCCTGCATGCACCCCTACCAGGGATTGATCCTGAAACCTGGGCAGTGCCCTGAGGGAGAACCAGACTCACCACCCTGTTTCACAGACTCTCCAACCAACTGAGCCACACCCAGCAGGGCTCAGATGATATTTTGACTGATTTAGAGCTTATTGCCAAATTGGATTCTGCTATCTTTTTATTTTTTTTAAATATATTTTTATTGATTTCAGAGAGGAAGGAAGAGGGAGAGAGAGATAGAAACATCAATGATGGATCGGCTGCCTCCTGCAAGCCCCCCACTGGGGATCCAGCCCACAACCCGGGCACATGCCCTTGACCGGAATCTAACCTGGGACCCTTCAGTTCGCAGGCCGACACTCTATCCACTGAGCCAAACCGGTCATAGCCTGCTATCTTTTTAAAAAATAGATTTTTTATTGATTTCAGAGAGGAAGGAAGAGGGAAAGAGAGATAGAAACATCAATGATGAGAGAGAATCATTGATTGGCTGCCTCTTGCACATCCCCCCCTGGGGACTGAGACGGCAATCTGGGCATATGCCCTGACCGTGACCTCCTGGCTCATAGGTCGACACTCAACCACTCAGCCATGCAGGCCTGGATTCTGCTATCTTAAAGAATAAGCTAACTTTGCTTTGGCTGTCATGTAGTTTGGTGTCATTAAATAACAAAGCTTTGGCACTGAGGCTGATGGTATCCAGATAAATTTCCATGACTACTCCTACTCTGGATCTCATAGGAGATCTTTTTTGGCCTATCCACATGACTTTTAGACCGTTTTTTTGTTACTTAGCCCATTGATTCACAGAGTGATCTGGGGCCTTCTCTTCCTTTTTGTCTTCTGTGTCCAGAAAAAATAGAATCATGAACATTTACATAGTACTGACTGTGCCTGTAAATATTTTATACTATAATCATTAACTAATCTTCACAAAACCCTACAAGACATCTACTGTTGTCTCCATTTTGCAGATGAGGGAGCTATGGCACAGGGAAGTTATGTACGTTGTTAAGGGTCACACTACTAGTGAGTGGAGGAGTTGGGGGTTATATTCAGGCCGTCTGGCTCCAGGACCAAATGTTATATCACACCTACATTTTGGCAGATAGGGAATTGATCAATACATGGTACCCTAAGGTCTGCTTTTTTGGGATCTGCTGCTGTTTCATTTTGTGGTGGTGTTTCCTAGCCTCTTGGAGTCTCCTGTCACCTAGGGGCAAGGAATGGAATTCTTGGCATTTTTTTCCAAGCCCCCTAGCCTCTAGATCTGGCTCCCTAGTTCTTGGTTGTAGTGCAGAGTTTGGCTTGGGAACCAGCCTAACCTGAGTTTAAATCCTGCCATCTCTCAACCCAATAAATATCCAATAAATACGTACTGAGCTCCTAAATGCCGAATACCAGGCTTTGTACTGGGTGCTGACCATATAATAAGCAAAACAATTCCTTGCTCGCATGGAATTTAGAAAAGTGAGAGAAGACTGAAAAACATAAACATATGTCAGGTGTTAAATGCTAAAAAGAAATATAAGGCAAGGGGAAAGAGACTAAGGGGAAACACCGTTTTAGAAATAATGGTTAGAACAGGTCTCTGATATGGGACATTTTGAGCAAATATTAAGTGAGGGGGTATGGCCAGCTGGTGAAAAGAGTGTTCCAGGCAAAAGGCCTTGAGATGAGAGCATGATTGTCCAGTTGAAGGAACTGCAAGGAGGCCAGTGGCCAGTATTAATAGCAGAGTAAGGGAGAGGAAAAGGGGAAGGTAACAAGATGATTAGGATGGGGCGAGGGGGGCGGGCTAGGGGTGGAGGTGGGGGCGGGGGAGATGCACCCATCTCTTGCAGGGCCTTATAGGTCAAGTTGGAGACATGTATTATTCTGAATGAGAGAGGCAATCGCGGCAGGGTGTCCTTGGCAAACATAATTTTGAAAGAAAACAAATCAACCCGTCAATACATATTGAGGTAACTCAATATATTGCTTGTATTTTCTTCTCCCTACCCTGGGCAGGCTGCAGCATGTCCTGCTGCTTAAGACTAAGATATCCCATGAGCGAGCTACGGGTTTCCTGCTGTTCTGTAGGCATGGGAGTGTGGCTACGGGAATCCGTGTCGTCACTGCAAATTTGCAGCTGAGCGCCGCCCCGCCCCAAAACGCTGCATTGGCGCCAAACGCGCGCTTCCCGGGTCTGCGGCAGCAGAGACCGCCTCGCCAGCCAGTTAGCACGAGTTGTGGCTTCTGCCGGTCACTGCCTCCAACTCCCAGCATGCCGGTGGGCGTGGGGCCTGCACGTAGACTCCATTTCCCAGCCTGCCCCGGGGCCCGGTCGGACGTGCCGGCGCCTATAAGAGGCAGAGCACTGGGGCCGAAGCCTATTGTTAGCCGGAGCCGGGTCGGTTCTGGGCGGCTGCTGCCGGGGCGCCCGAGTTGCCGGAGCCGTCCGCCCTCTGCTGCCTGCGGGTCGCCCTGCCCACCCGCCCTCCCTCCGGGTCCTGCTGGCCGGGGAGCTCCCGGCCGTGGTCGCGGTCCCAGGACTGGCACTCTCCTCCCTCCTCGCCATCGGGCTAGGGCGGCGGCGGGGGCGGCGGAGACCATCGCGGGAGGAGGCGGCGGCGGCGGGGCCGGTAATGGGCCTGGGGGTGCGGGGCGGAGGGTGCCGCCTCGTCCTTTCTCGGGATCGGCCCTCGGGCGGCGGTGGAGGAGTGGGCAGCCCGGAGCCCCGCGGATGGAGGGGTCGGAGAGGAGGGAGGCTCCCGGCCGGGGGGCGGGGGCCGAGGCGCGGCTGGAAGGGGAGCTGAGGGAGAGGCGTGGGAGACCTCGGCGCGGGGATCGCGGCCGGGCTGCGGGGCCGCTCTGGGAGGCCGAGGGGCGGCCGGGGAGCCGGCACGATTGCGGACGAGGGCTGAGTTGGGAATGGAGTGGAGATGATGCAGGATGGAGGGCAGCGAAGGAAGGGGAGGGGGCAGGGGAAATGGAGGAGTGGCTGGGAATCGGCGAGGAGCGGCAGGAAGGGATGGGGAGGCTGGTGGGGCTGCAGAAGATCAGAATGAGCGGGAAGGTGAGCAGTCGGGAAGAAATGCCCGGGAGCTGGCGGGTTCCGCGAGGGTGTCCATTAGAGGAACTGGCCACTTGACATGTCCTTTGAGCTCAGGTTCCTGATGTGTCTGTCACCCGTTTTTCTGGCGTTGGGTGGGAAAGCGAAAGCATCCCCTGCCCCGGTTGCTAGCTTGACCGCCTTCACAGGCCCAAGCACGCAGCGGACTGCCGTTCATCCCTGTTAGGGCCATGGCCTTGATGCATCGTTTTCAGGGAGTTTAGAGGGGCACTGTGACACCCCGCCTTTCTTCAGGATCAGATGTTAGCAGTTACCCCCGAGAGACACGGTGTCCCCTTGCCTTTCAGTTCAAGGTAAAGCCGTCGTTGATTCACATTTCCCTTTTCTGTACTGACTTTCCATCTTGCAAATCTCCAAAGCCGGGGGGATGCTGGCTGTACCAGAGCTGTAAGTGAGGGGCTATCCTTGAGAGGTAATGCTCCCTACAGCAGCATGTTCCAGCTCTCCTCCACATGATGGTGGGTTAGACATGGAGGGCCGCCTCCAACCTTGTGTAGGTCAGGTCGGTAAACACCAGGGAGTGGAGGAGGGGGACTTCCTTGAAGTATCTAGTGTGAAGGATGTTTTCACTTGAGTTCCCTAAAGATTCATGATCCTGGTAATCACAAGGACACACACCCACACAATTCATAGTGTTTGAGAATTAACCAGAATATATTGTAAAAGGAGAAATAGGACAGGTCATCTTACTCAGGTTTGTAACACTGAGCAAGCCTGCCTTCCTCCACCCTAGCTACAGATGGCAGCCCTGATGATCTTACTGGAGGTTTGGGTCCCTTGACCTTTAGCAGAAGGTTGGGTTCCAGTTGAGCGGAGAGGCTTTCTCCTGTGAGATGTATCTTGTCTTATTTTCTTTTTTTAATTCATTTAAGAGAGAGGCTTAAAATACCTAAACTTTGCAAATATATTCTGCATCCACAAAATTGGGTGAGGGTCCCTTTTGCTAGTCTCATATTCTGGTTTTAAAGGAATCCTCATAGGCCTGGAAAGGCTTAGATCTAGTGCTGAAGTGCACATACGCTGTAGATCTATTTTGTTTGGTGCCAGCCTAATAGCTTCTACGTTCTGTGGAAACCTCTGGGAAATGTTCAGCCTGAAACACTTGAGAAGAGACTGAAAAGCATGTAGCCAGAAAGTGTCAGTTGACCTTTCATTTCACTGGCATTTTAAAGCTTTTATAGAGGTCTGCATTGTTTTCTCAAAAGCATTTGTTGTTTGAGCTGCGCACTGTGACAGGTAACTGTCAGTTATTGCCTGCATTGCTAGTCTCACCTTGATTAGTTCTGTATGGGTTTAAGTGCTGGGAGCATAACTTATAAGTGTTTCTCTTGAGCACACACATCGATCCTCTGCCAGTTGAGAGGTGGGAACGACTGGTTTCTAATTGTGGTTTGAAAGGAGGTTGATTTGATAAATTGGGAAATGTGGAACCTATTCTAGTTGTAAAGCAAAAGCTCTCCCGGTTTATTCTTGGTGCCCAGTGAACATCTTTATCTAACAAGTTACGTTCACACCAGAGAGCTGGACAAGGAGACCTGGACTGAAATTTAAACTTACATTGGTTGTCAGGACAGAATCGACGGAGTTATTTTATTTTAATAATGGAGTTAATGTCAGAGAACATGATGCTAACAGACCCTGTGTAGGGTGAAGAGGACTAGTATGCATGTTATTTACACACATAGCCATAGATTATTCTCAGGCATTTTAAGGAAAATATTTTTCTCGTGGGTTTCACATCTTTTTATTTTTCGTCCTTACCTACCCTTTGTCATTGCCCAGAAACCAGCATTCCCGGAGTGGAAGGGGAAAGACATAGATAAAAGGGTGAAGGAGAATGGAGTAAGCAGCCAGCAATCCTTGCTGCACCATAGTGCACAAACATTAACCTAACAGAAATGACACTCCTAAGGGCAGCGGGGTGAAGTCAGTGGAGCATTTTGATGGTAAAGAGGATTTGGGCCCTAGCCAATTTGGTTCAGTGGTTAGAGTGTCGGCCCTGGGACTGAAGGGTCGTGGCTTGATTCTGGTCAAGGGCATGGACCTCGGTTGTAGGCTCCACCAATTGATGTCTCACATCGATGTTGTCTCTCCCCCTTCCTTCCACTCTCCCTAAGAATCAATGGAAAAAATACCTTCGGGTGAGGATTAACAACAACAAAAAGGTTTGGCCCATACCCAATGTCATTCAGCGCTTAAAGAGAAATATTCAAAGGGAATCCACACTGCCAGAAGCGAAGGGGACCCCCAGGAAAGAACCAGAAGTGCATATCATAAATCCTGGAGTAATTTCAGGCTGAAGAGAAGGCCACTTTCCTAGTAGCATCACTAGCTGGATCTCAGTTAAAACTGAAGCTGGACTTACAACCTTTCTGAGAAAGCAGATTTCCAGCTCAGTTTGAGTTTTCATGTGGTTGACAAGTTTTTTAACTGGGGAGGAAAAATAAAATTTAGTGGTTAACATTATTCTTTTTTTTTTTACTCACCCACATAAGTACTTAATTGCAAAGGTTTCTCCCCCACCCTCAGAATAGAATGGAATGAGAAATTTGTTAGTTAACAGATACCTTTAAACCATCGCTATTCTTAACCCATGAACAGACCTCGGCTCTTTCCTTCTTACCATGTCCTAGGAATGTGACCTCTGATGGCAAGATCAGTAACCTGGAGACCAGCATTGGTACTTTGGGCTCATTTTTAAATTTAATTACAACTCTTATCAAGTATTTGATCCCTCGCTACCCCCTCCCCCCATTCCCCCACTCCCTAGCCAGATTTATTTCAGGAATGTGCTTGTCTGAGACCTATATGGCTGATGTTTCTTAAGTCCATCTTGTGACTTAAAAAGGCAGATTTTTAAATTAAATCTGGATAGATCTGGTCGACTATATAGAACTTACCCAAGAGCAGGCAAATTGCTTCCAAGAGACACAATCCAGAAAAGCAGCCCTGTAGCAGGCATCTCTTGACATCACACAGTATATTCTGGGTAGCTGCTCTGCAGTAATGCAGCCCTGTCTTTCTGGGCAGTGTTGTTATTCCTGCTGCATAATTAGCAACCAGTGAGATCATAGTCTGGGGAGATTCTGGCATTACTGAGGCAAAGCAGGGAGGCTTCGTATCGTCACATGTGGCCCTGGCCCTGACAGCATTTCTGTCGAGCAGATTCATATCCTTGGGAACTAAAGTCCAAAGACAGAGGAGATTTGTATCCCAGACTCCATGGTTGGGTGACAGCTTGTTGAAGACACTGCCTGCCATATTGATGAAACCAGAGTAAATTGTCATTTCTTTTGCTATTTGTTTTCCCTTTGCTGGTTTCTTTACAGAGGGCAGAGGTGGTAAGGCTAAGTTTTCCTTGCACAGAGGAGGACGATAGACCAGCGGAACCCTGTTTTATGGAGCAGTATGAGATTGGGAAGGATTCTGGGGTTTGAAGCCAGTGGAGATTCTAATCTGCACTCCATTCTTTAGAACCAAAGTTGACCTTTCTAGGAGCCTGGAGAGACATTTTATACTTGTGAAGATCTGGGTAAAGTGTTTCCTTGGCTGCTGATGTACTTTGAAATTGAGAGCCTAGAGCAGTATTTCCCAAAGTGTTTTCCAAGATTCATTTATTTGCCCCCTAAAATACGCTGGAAAACAAAGGGTCCCATATTCAGGTGTGCGGAAACACTGTGTTCTGTTTTCTCCCACCCTTCCCCATGCTCATTAGCATGTTAAAAGCCTCTAAGAGGTTCTCCCATAAACAGTTTTCTAAACTGTTTTGACACAGCAGTCCTGTTTTCATGCAAAAACTATTAATATCCGCCCTAGCTGGTTTCACTCAGCGGTTGGGGCTTTGGCCCTGGACCTGAGTTCCTGGTTTGATTTTGGTCAGGGCACGTACGACCTTGGTTGCTTGAATTCGTTTATTTCATATATATACTTTGGGAAAGCCAGGCTGTATCTTCACCAGGAAAATAATTGATCTAGTCTAGACTTAGGCACAGCCTAATTCTGCTTTTGGTGCCGAGTCCCTCCTCCTGGCCCTTGGGGCGCTCTCCTGTGTGATCCCAAGAGCAGCTCCTGGTATCTATCCCCCAGACGGCTTGGAACCAAAGGCCTTCACTCCGCTGGGAAAGGTGCTGCGGGAAAGGTGCTGCGGTTACTCCTCTCGTTATTCTGAGGGACTGAGACAAAGAGCTGAAGGGAAACAGAAGTAGGAGAATGTTGGCCAGAATCAGTAGAGAAGTGACCTGATCAGGAGAAACCAGGCATCGGTGCTAGCTCAGGTGCCTTCTCTCTTCAGTCGGAGACCTTCACGCACAGACTTGGGAGGGGTCTGTCTGAGGCCAGGAATGCTGATTCCTCTTTCCCCTCGGCAGGATCCTCATGCACCTGGCGACCTGGTGGTGAGCAGGGGCTTTGGGGCCAACGCGGTGGGCTCCCCAGGAAACCCCTTTGAAACCAATGGATGCATTCACGGGCTCGGGTCTCAAGAGAAAGTTTGATGATGTGGATGTGGGCTCATCAGTGTCCAACTCCGATGATGAGATCTCCAGCAGTGACAGTGCCGACAGCTGCGACAGCCTCAATCCTCCTACGACTGCCAGCTTCACCCGTGAGTGGGCCTCTCCCCCTGTGTACACCCATGTCCCCAAGCATCAGCGCCCACTGCAGCTCTTGAGAGACACTTCTTCTAACCAGCTTGGGGATTTCCCCTGAATCATAATCTTTCCCACTCTTAGGCTCCGCCTTGCTCCAATATCGTAAACTTAAGTCTGATTTATTCGAGCTGATTTTACTTGTGCTTGGTTTTTGGGTCCCCTGGAGGAGAGGAGTCCAGGATTTTGAAAGAGAAGAGTCCAGGATTTACCCTTCCCCACCAGAGTCCAATAGGGTTCTGTGATATTGTAGCTCTATCAGGACATAAATCCTTATAGCCTGAACAACTGGGGCAACTCCAGGTTTCTTAATTCTTCTGCCCCAATTAGTTTGGATACTATAGATCAGGGGTTGCCAGTGGACCAAATCTGGCTCACTGCCTGCTTTTGTAAATAAAGTTTTATTGGAACACAGCCACACTCATTGTCTGTTATTGCCTTCATGCTACAATGACAGAGTTGGGTAGTTTCAACAGAGCCCTGATGACCTGCAAAACATAAAATACATACTTCCTGGCCCTTTACAAAAATTTGCTCTTCCATTATACAACACTGTGTAATAGAATTTTCTGTTATGAAAAAACTGTTCTGTATCTGCACTGTCTGCAGCCATTAGCCACACGTGGCTATTGAGCACTTGAAACGAGATTAGTGTAACTGAAGAGCTGAGTTCTAAATGTTATTTCATTTTAATTATATTTAAATTGACAACATGTAGCTGCTGTGTTGAACAGTGAAGCTATACAGGTCGTTTTATCCTGAGAAGATTACCTAGAGATCCTCTTCCCAACTGATGTCTAAAAATAGACTTTGTGGTCTGCTTGGGTGAAGTCAGGCACTGTGGACCAGCTGATGCTCAAAGCTGATTTGAAAATGAGAACTATCTCTAGGTACAGGTTGCACCTTTGGAGAAGAGTTGAGAGCCTAGATGGATGAGAAAGAATAAGGTCCCCAAACAGGCCATCTCCGGGCTAATAAAATGCTCTGTGTTCCCTTCTCAGCCACCTCCATCCTGAAGCGGCAGAAGCAGCTACGGAGGAAGAATGTGCGCTTTGACCAGGTGACTGTGTACTACTTTGCCCGGCGCCAGGGCTTCACCAGTGTGCCCAGCCAGGGGGGTAGCTCCCTGGGCATGGCCCAGCGCCATAACTCCGTCCGCAGCTACACGCTCTGCGAGTTTGCTCAAGAGCAGGAGGTGAACCATCGGGAGATTCTCCGTGAGCACCTGAAGGAAGAGAAACTCCACGCCAAGAAGATGAAGGTGCCTAGGGGACCTGGGGCTGGTACTTCCCATGTGCCAGTATAAAGTGGGAAACCATCTAGGTCTATCTATCTAATCTATCTATCTATTTATTTCCTAATATCTTTTTTTACTGTTGCCCTTCCTTGGCTTGTAGATTCCAGATCTTTCTAGTGAAAGGCTCAGATATGGATGGAATCAGATCTCTAAGACCCTTCTTTTTGTGTCTGGTGGGGTGTCTATCAGAGATAGCAAAATGGCTTCTCTAGAATTTCCTGCCCTTGCCAACCTCAGCAAATTTTCTTATTTTTTATTTTTTTAATAATTTTTATTGATTTCAGAGAGGGAGAGAGAGAGATAGAAATATGAATGATGAGAGAGAATCATTGATCAGCTGCCTCCTGCATGCCCCTCACTGGGGATCGAGCCCACAACCCGGGCATGTGCCCTTGACTGGAATTGAACCCGGGACCCTTTGGTCCATGGGCTGACACTCAATCCACTGAGCCAAACTGGCTAGGGCAGCAAATTTTTTTTAAGTCTTAAAATGTGAATGAAGACATTCAAGCTTGCCACCCCCAGAACCTGTGGAAGCACAATGTTTCAATGTCTTATCAGATAAATACCTGTTGCCCTCATGCACAGGGCAGGTTTGGGATCTTTTGCATTGTCTGAAAGGATCTTGCTATTTCTGTAACCCCCGTCACCTCTAGGTGATAGTGTGTCGGACATAAGCAACAGCATTACCAAATGGTTATCTCAGTTTGCATAGCACTGTGTCTGCCACTGATGCTGCACCAGCTCAAGTATAGGAGGAGAGCAGGCCTGGAAGAAGGCCCATCTTAGATTGCATCATAGCACTGCTGGGTACTCCACAGCCATAGTTTCCACCAGTCTGCAAAAATTTCCCCCAGAGTTCCTAGTTCCAAATTTGGAGAACACTGTTTTAGGCCTGGCCAAGTTTCTTGCAGACCTGTATTGAAATAGGTGGCTGCATTATTGCCAAGGTTATGGGTGAAATCCTAGTGAGACACACTTCAGTGTGGTAGGGTTGGGGAACTGGTGGCAGAGGATGTAGGTTAACTGGATGTCATTGCTTTCTTCCTTTGAGAGTTCAATGTCTACTCTCCTCAGCCTACTCCTAAAGCTGTACGCCTGTTTTTCTAACTAGAATGACATTCAGGCTTCACTGTCTGTGTCTGAGGAATTCCATCACTGACACCCTCACCTCCCTGCCGCTATAGCAACAGCTGGGCAAATAAACACGGTTCTCATCGTTTGTAATGAAGGCTTTCTTCTCTTTCCCCAAGAAGAATCCCTCTCCTAAATCTGATAGAGGAACGATCTGTCAAAACATAACACCCTATGGCCTCCCTAGTAGGAGGTCTAGAGACAAACTTGAGGCTTGAGGTATGGGGTTCCAGCTTACTAGCAGATACAGTGAACAGCAGCAATGCTGGCATCTAAGCCATCTATCTGTATCAAGAAAAAAACCCTTACTTTGCCCTTCCCAAGTCCAGTTTATTTTCTTAGAAATTTTTCTTATCTTTAGCATTCTATAGGGGAGGCAGTTGGTCTCAAAAATATATATTCTGTATCTCCCATATACCATCTAATGTTTATTTTCCTTTTGGGCTGCCACCAAAAAGAAAGAAAAAAGCTGCTGGTGCCCTTCCGGTGTGGCTCAGTTGGTTCACGGTCAGGGGGTGCAGATTCGGATCCCAGTCAGGGTGTGTATGGGAGCCAACTGGTTGATGTTTCTCTCCCTTCCTCTCGCTCTAAAATCAATTTTAAAAAAAAGCTGCTTTTCATCTGCAGCTTTAGTTACCAATAATTTCTCTAATACTTCCATTACTTTTTTTTTTTTTGCATTTTATCCATATGGAATTCATTATGAATAGTATGACTTGGGAATCTAACCTTATTTTTTTCCAAAAGACTAGTCCCTTGTCCCAATACCATTTAATTATTAGAAGGCTCTTTGTCAGTGATAAGAAATGTCACCCCTGTCATGACATATTAAATTCTCACATCTACATGGGTTTCTTTCTATTGCATCTGTAATCGCTTTCCTTTGAGAGGACAGCAGCAGTGAGGGTGATTAGGAAGCCAGCCCTGATGGATCAGACAGGAGCAGCCGAAGGCCTGTGGAAAGGCCCTTGTGGTTGGCCTGCTGGTGCAGAAATCAGAGAGTGAGGAATCCTCGGAAGCATCACTTTCTCTCATTTTTGCTGCCCACAACAAATATACAGTGTGTTGCTTATTCCCCAGGTGTGTTGCGTCACACCTCTCCTAGGAGTTGAGTTGCTCCTTTACCAGCACTGCCCTGTGGCTGTCTGATGAAATAAGCCCAACCCTCCAGTAGCTGGCTTTCATTCTGCCAGCAGCTTCCAGAGCCCTGGGGATTATGAGGCCTCATTTTCTTTACTGGAATTCTCTAGTGAGTTCTCAAACGCATCCAGCTATGGATTGTCTTTACCCTGTCCTTCCACTAAGAGTCCCTTTCCTGGCTGGCTGTCCCTCTTAGCCCAGAGAACCCAGCTCTGCCTGGATTACATATTGCACCCCACCTCACATACAACTTTTCTTTGAAATCAAGTGAAAATGATTAGAGAAAGAAAGCAAGGGCTTACAAGCCATTAATAATTTGCTTATATTTTTCTCCTTCCAATAAAATGCAACTCTCCTGGGTATGAATAGGTAAGTTTTCACATTGGGAATTTAGGTTCACTGACAAAGATCTGGTAGCCTTGTACTACACTTTAATGAAATCTACTTCCCAAAATGTGGTTTTGAGTCCTTTAGGGGGTGCAAACTGAAGGGTGTGTGCAAGCTTATCTATACACCAGGGAACCTCCAACCATTAACACACCACATGTGCTGTGGCTACTGTGTGAGCACGGGTGCACACGGTTGTTGGACCGTGCTACCCCAGAGGCTCCCTGTGCGAGGCTGTGCTGGGAACGCTGTAGGCTAACCTCTCCTTCCGGTCTCTCGGCAGCTGACCAAGAATGGGACAGTGGAGTCAGTGGAGGCCGATGGCCTGACACTGGATGATGTTTCCGATGAAGACATCGATGTGGAAAATGTGGAGGTGGACGATTACTTCTTCCTACAGCCTCTGCCTACCAAACGGCGACGGGCCCTGCTGAGGGCTTCTGGGGTCCACCGCATTGATGCCGAAGAGAAGCAAGAACTTCGAGCCATCCGCCTGTCACGGGAAGAGTGTGGGTGTGACTGTCGGCTGTACTGTGACCCAGAAGCGTGTGCCTGTAGCCAAGCTGGGATTAAATGCCAGGTCAGTCCAAGTCAGGCCTGAGATGGTGTACCTGCACTAGAGTCAGGGTGTGTGGCGTGGGTGCCAATGAACCTGGAAGGCTACCCATCAAAGGGTGGCTTCCCTGTGACTGAACACTCCCCAGTACCACAGCCCTCCTCCACCAGCCAAGGAAACCAGCATGACAGGATTCAGGCTGGGAGGCCTGTCATCTTGTCTGTGTTTTATACCTTGGGGCTGATAAGAACAGCTGTCAGCAAATGGAGGCACAGGGGTTAGTAAGTTCACACTTAGTAGCCGTTTCCTAAATATTGATTGGTTCCTTGAGATAAAAGGAAGCAGAAACATGAGGTAGGCCTTTAGATTTTATCTTGCAAACACTTATTCACAGTGCCTTCTCTCCACTTCTTTAAAAATCAAAATAGTTCTTGGATGCTGTCATTCAGGATCACATTGGGCCTGGCAGAGCTTAAATTCCTAGTGTCCATAAAGAAAGCATCATTCCCTCAGCCGGCCCGTTGATGGACAGCTTGGAAGACGCATTCAATTGAAAACAGCAGTACCATCCCAAAGATTGGAAGGTATATGGGACTTGTACACTGAGGATGTGGATGCTGAGTCCTTGTAGTTGGACTTCTGACCAACCTTTTCTTTCTGGACCTAGCCAAATACTGCTTGTCAAACTGAAGTCCCATAATGAATCCATCTATGATCCACAGACCTGAGGACAGCCCTGATAATTAGGCTGTTCCTAAGAGAGTTCTTTAGGTTGACATTGTAGAAGACATTTTATATTTGTACATAGCAGCTTACTCGTGTTTTAATTTTATTTTTGCTATTTTCCCCCCTTTTGGGGATCCAAAAGAGAAAAGGAAATAGAAAGCATCTCCTTTCTAGATGGTCTTGTTCTGTAACTTAGTTGTCTTGGTAACTTCTTCAGAAACAAACTGGTCAACCATCAGGAAAAATGAAGCTGGTAATGAAAAGCTGGCTCTGTTATTTTGTTAGGGGTCCTTTTGCTTAGTTTCCCAAGAATGCATTTCTTTGGACTAGCTGGGACTTCTACTCCCTTCCCATGCCTGTCATCACAGAAAACAAGAGGCTTAGGCCCCAGCATTTTGTTTTCTCAGTAAACCAGGTAAGTCTGGAAAAGTTTTTGAGGCACGTAAGTTTCTTCTGCTCTGAGATGTGTTGGCATTTAGAGAGGCATCTCTGGACTTTTGAACTTGGAAAGGCCCTTTGATATAATATTTGTCTACTTTTTGTTTAGAAGAGAAAACAAAGCCCTAGTCAGTGATGGCGAACCTTTTGAGCTCGGCGTGTCAGCATTTTGAAAAACCCTAATTTAGCTCTGGTGCTGTGTCACATATAGAAATTTTTTGATGTTTGCAACCGTAGAAAAACAAAGATGTATATTTTTGATATTTATTTTATATATTTAAATGCCATTTAACAAAGAAAAATCAACCAAAAAAATGAGTTCGCGTGTCATAGGTTCGCCATCACTGCCCTAGAGAGAGAAGCGAGGCTGCACTGGAAACACAAGTAGTCTGATAACTACCGTCTGTGCTGTGCTGTGTGCTAGCTCACGCTGCATTTTGTTTTGAATTGGCTGTGTTTCTTTTTTGTTTTTTCTTTAAAATACATTTTATTGATTTTTACAGAGAGGAAGGGAGAGGGATAGAGTGTTAGAAACAGATGATGGATGAGACAGAAACATCCATTAGCTGCCTTCTGCATGCCCCCTACTGGGGATCGAGCCTGCAGCCAAAGTACTCGCCAGAGTCCAACCCAGGACCCTTCAGTCCACAGGCCGACGCTCTAGCCACTGAGCCAAACCAATTAGGGCTGGCTGTGTCTCTTGTAAGAAGACCACAAATCCCACCTGCTTGTTGTTGTTTTTTTTTAAATATAGTTTATTGATTCTTTACAGAGAGGAAAGGAGAGGGATAGAGAGTTAGAAACATTGATGAGAGAGAAACATCGACCAGCTGCCTCCTGCACACCCGCTACTGGGGATATGCCCGCAACCAAGGTACATGCCCTTGACTGGAACGAACCTGGGACCCTTGAGTCCGCAGGCCGACGCTCTATCCACCAAGCCAAACCAGTTAGGGCCTACCTGCTTGTTTTGCCAGCTAAAGTCTCCTGTCGCCATTGTTAAACTGATGGTCTCCTCTTGCCTCAATCTCCTTGTCCCCTTCTCAGGTGGATCGCATGTCCTTTCCATGTGGCTGCTCCCGGGATGGCTGTGGGAACATGGCTGGGCGCATCGAATTTAATCCGATCAGAGTTCGGACGCATTACCTCCACACCATCATGAAGCTGGAGCTGGAGAGCAAGCGGCAGGTGAGCCGCCCGCCCGCCCCAGAGGAGGAGCCCTCGCCCACCGCCAGCGGCAGCCCGACGGGAGCCCAGGGCTCCGAGACACAGGACTTCCAGGAGTTCATTGCTGAGAATGAGACCGCAGTGATGCACCTACAGAGTGCGGAGGAACTGGAGCGGCTCAAGGCAGAGGAAGACTCCAGTGGCTCTAGTGCCAGCATGGACTCCAGCATAGAGAGCCTGGGCGTGTGTATCCTGGAGGAGCCCCTGGCCGTTCCTGAGGAGCTGTGCCCAGGCCTGACGGCTCCCATTCTCATCCAGGCTCAGCTGACCCCAGGCTCCTCCGTCCTGTGTTTTGCTGAGAACGCGGACCACCCAACTGCCTCAGCAGCGACCAGCCCATCCTACTTGAACAGCGGGCCCCTGGTCTATTACCAGGTGGAGCAGAGGCCAGTCCTGGGGGTGAAAGGAGAGCCTAGTCCAGGAGAAGCCCCACCCTCTCTCCCCAAGGAGAAGGATCTCAATGTCTTCTCTGTCCCTGTTACCTCACTGGTGGCTTGTAGCCCCACAGACCCAGCCCTGTGTCAACCAGAGGCAGGGAAAGCATCCACTCTAGAAGCACTGGTGCCCGAAGATTGTATCCCTGAGGAGCGGGAGAATGAAGACTTCCGCCCCTCGTGGTCGCCCTCAAACCTCCCCTTCGGCACGGACAGCGAAGAGGGCTGTGTGGTAGAGAAGACCTCACAGCCCAGCGAGGACCGGCCCCCTGAAGATTCGTCCCTGGACCTCCCTCTGGCAGTGTGATGCGGGCATGCAGATTCTGCCTCTTACCTGTTCTCTATTTATTCCCTTATTTTATCTAACACCATTTCAGAACAAAACTGTAGAAGCAGCTGCTGCTCCCATGTTATTTTATTGGGGTCTTTGGGGGGGGCGGGTGGGAAAGGATTGTTTATACAGTATTTTTTAAAGGTAAACAGAACCAAGGAGACCAGCCCCAGCTTGGTCTGGGGGCAGTCTTGGGGCAGAGAAGGCCACACAGTGCTGAATACTGTTTTCTGGGCCATTGGAACAAAGAACTAGGATCTCATAGGAGACACTAGGTAATTCAAGCAGCTATTCTTTTCACAGGGATCAGAATACATAATTTGAACAGCACGGCAAAGCCCCTCTCCTAAGCTCCAGGCGGATACAAGCTCCTTTTTCTCAGTGGTTACTGATATCCCATTTTGGTGTTATCCAGTTGGAAATGTCACCTGGAGAGGAGGGGGGAGAAGGGTCTCCACTTCTGTACAAAACCAGGATTTTAAAAAATTTAACCTGCCTTCCCCAGCCCCCTATTTGGTAAATAAGTTAATATTTGACATGTTTGGTGTTCTCTGACCTGTTCCCCACACTGGGGATTCCTGGTCTGTAACTTGAATTGTTTCTTTCTCATGTTCTTAGGTACTAGAGTTTAACTTGTCTGTTTCCCTACCCCCCGCCCTGCCACCCCCCCCCCTTTGAAGAAAAAGCTATATTGGCTGGGGATGTGGTATAAAGAGCTTGTGTCTTCTGTGTGCGTCCGACAGTAGCTGTCGGGCAGCTCTAGGCTGAGCTCACACGTCCCATGGGAGGCACATGGAGCGTGAAGTGTGTCCAAAGGAGGCAGCAGGGAGTTTGCTGTCTGGAAAGATGAGGACTTCGTGCCATGCTTACGGTCAGGTGTTCCCCCCCCCCCCCCCCCCTTGGGGAGATTTGAGCTTTAAAGGAATATAGGATGTGTCATTCTAAGGTCACCAGGTTTTTTTTTGTTTTTTGTTTCTATATCCTTGGTGGTCCTTGGATATACAGGGTTGGAGAGTTCTTTTACTATTCTAGTTCACTCCCAAGAATTGCAAATATTAGACTGCTCCATCTTGATATCTGAAAATCAGAAGTCAAATCAATTGCTAAATGTTACATATAACCCCCAGGTTCCAAAGAAGTCAGGTTCTGGTGATAAAGCTTTGAGGTCTAGAGCAGGACTCCAGTTCAGTTCTTGCCTCCATCTGGGGACGCCGTTCCTTTTCCTCTCGTGTCCACCTATGTTCCTGGATGTGCTCCACTGACCACACTGAATTCACTAGCAAAGGTGTCTCTGTCTCTGCTTTAAAGTGGCGGCAGCAGGAAACAGCACCCTGGCATCCCTTACGCCATGCTTTGCCTCTGGTATGGTTTATTAATCAGGAAAGAACAAAGTGAAAATGTTTTTGGTGGGGGAGATAACTATTCTTACTTATCTCCATCATAAAGCCTTTTCTTGTGGGATATTATAGCCCTGGTGTCTTAAAGCAACCTTCATGTATATCAGCGTTTTACCTATAAAATCGCTAAACTGAGCCTACTAGGCCTTTTACTTAACAGATACATCTTTTGACCCATTCTTCCTCCCGTTGGTTTTTTGCAGGGTTTGGAGAGTTCTTCAGTATATAGGTCCTTAGCACTCTCCAGTCTCATAGGACAGAGTTGAGAGTCTTAGGTACCGAGATCTAGATGCTGTCCCAAGCTGAGCTGCTGCACTTCCTTAGACTGGTCCCCTCAAATACAAGACTGAAGCTTAATTGGGAATAGGACTCAATGCAGAAGAATCTTTCTGAAAGTTTGTGTTGAAAGGGGAGGGTGAGCATTGTACATTCCCTCCTTAGGAAGAATTCCTAATCTAAGAAGTGATTCCAGGTGCTCAATAAGAGACACATTATTAGCCTTTGGGATCAAAACAAGAATTTGAATCTATTAAACGCATTGCCAACCCCCAAAATAATGATTTTTCTGAAGAAACTAGTTTCTTAATCTAAATTCTACATTAACCCTATAATTGATTCACACTGATCCCAAGCTTTTAAATGCTAAGTGTCGGCATTTAGCATTAACTGTCTTGTTAAGCAAAGGGCCTTTTCTACAATCTCGTCCATCTCATTACTGGTGCTACTCGAGTTGGACACAATTAGAGCTCATGGTTACTCGAAAAGCTACGCCTCTGATCACAGAAGCAAATAGCTTCAACCCCACTCAGTCCAGGCCTAGATAAGAGAAATTACTTTTATCGCAACTCATTCCTTTCTCACTGTATACAGGTAGTATTTTCAATGTGAATCCAAAGCTTGTCTGGTTCTCTGGAAACAATTTTTTTTTTTTTTTTGCCTTTCAGGTCCCTCACATTGTGATAATGTTGTATTTAAAGAGAATATTTAAATGTAATATTAAAGAAATATTCAAAAGAATGGTGTGTTACTCTTGATCTTGGCAGACCACAATCCAGTTACTTGTTAGAAAAAGGATGCCTCTCCAGCCTTATATATAAAATTAATTAGGTCAGTTAGGGATTAATGTCAACAACAGAGGTGTTTTATGATGGAAAAACAGAATGTTCTCTCTGGAGCATCAAGAGCTTGACTTGCCTCCTATGCGCTTATGCACCTCATTGGCTGAAACAGCCTTCATCCTGCCCTGCTGAAGCTTTCCCTGTCTGTAGTCCCCACTCTTGGGGCCCAATTTCTAATTTCATTACTTTCTATGTGTATGTACAATTTCCTATTCCTAGTTAGCATTTAAAATCCAGCAAGAGGATCAACTCAAATCAGTTCATAACTTCCATCCCATCAGAAAGTTCTATTCCAACCAATTCTCTCCCCAAAAGTCAGGTTATGAGTCTTGTAAAGGAGCCTTAGCAAAATGATTAAAGTATGCATAAGTGAATTTCCAGCCACTGATTTCAGACAGTCTTTACTTGGGTTAAAAACGGGGCTTCATGCATTTACAGTAAGTTACTACAGGCCACTGATGTGCCTTCACAGACAAAAGCTAAGCCCAACCTACTATCTTGATGCCGATCTCTCCTGGTTTCCTGGGCAGGTTAGTACTGTACAGGTTTGATCCATGGCCAAAGGCAGCCATTTTCAGTTAAAGTTGGATGGCTGCAACACAATGGAGGTAGCGAAGAGTTTAAGATCCACAGGTTGTGGCACAGACCAGAAATTAAGACAAGGGTGTGAAGGCTATAAATATTGGGTAAGCGGTCAAGAAGGACTTGTAGTTCCTTGTATCTTGTCCATTAGAATGTTCCCATACATTATTCACTAAAAAAAAGTAAAGGTGGTAAGAGGATATGAAAAGGAAAGAGGTTAACCCACTGAGGGGGACAAAAAAATTCCTATTTTTGGTCATCTCAGGGTTGAGGGGAGCATCATAGTGCATGCATGTAAGTGCTCTAGTTTAAGTAGTGCTGTTCCCCTCACCGGCCAGAAAATGGCTTGAACAAAAACAGCTCAAAAGACTATGGCAGTGAATAAGTCCTAGGCCAAATGAGGATTCCCACCTGGGCCGAAGCTCACTTCCCAGAATCTGAAATTAGCATATTACAGTAACAGCCTAGTACAGTGGCTGCTTCCAGTGTCAGTTAATTCCAAGGAAGTTGGGATGAAGCTCCCAAGGGCTACCCCTGGTAAGAGGTTTGCTTCAGTTCCAGCTCCCACGAGCGTACACACTGAAGCTTGTGGCACCCGCTCCTCGGCCCCACACGCTAACGGCACCCAGACTGCCGACAGTGCTGTTTGGTCCCACGCTGCTGGACTGACGGCAGGACAATGCCATCGCTCCATGCTCACTCAGCGCCTTGTCCCAATGTAGTTGGTGGAAAGCAGGACCACGTTGTGTAGCAAAAGAGACAGCTCAGCTTCTGAAAACACCATCAGTGTTAATGGTTTGGCCAGGGAACAGTCTGCCTTCTAACTGCCTTGGTTTACAGGTGTTGAAATTGAAGGTGGAAAGCCCAGTGCAGGGAAGTATGACGTTAAGGGGCTGTTGTTCTCAAGTTCCCCTTCTTCATCCAGTATCTGCATGTATGCTTTTCTTTCCTTCCACCACATATGCCTACCTACTCATCCTCATTTCTGGACTCTCCTGTGACAGCAGTAGAAAACGCAGAGATAGTAATGGTACTAAACATCACTGCCACCCTTGGGGTTCTTCTGGTAGAAGCTGGTGCTCTGGGGACATTTCTCAGCTCTACGGAGATTAGCAGGCCTACCCTCATATTCACAGGCTTAAAAAACATCAAGGCCTACCTAGCCAAAGCTTCCAAACAGGGGACCCACCAGCCTAATGCCTACCCTTAGAAACTTTCTGATCAGCCAGCTGAGCGGTTTTGTTTTTATTTTGAATTTAAACTAGTACTTCTCAACTAGGACAATTTGGCTCTCCCCTCAACTGGGACAACTGGCAATGTCTGGAGACACTTTGGATTGTCAGAACTGGGGCGAGGGGGTACTACTGGCATCTAGTGGCTATAGGCCAGGAATGTTGCTAAACATCCTATAATGCACGGGACAACCCTCAGGATAAAGCTTCAATAAGGCCAAGGTTGAGAAACTGCTTTAGACAAGCATGTGCTCATGCTCGTGCTCCCACAATCCCCACTACTCACTCCATCTTGCATGGTCCACTTCGTGACCTGCTTGTAGGCTAATGAGTCTGTGCCTTTCATTTAGACATACAGGTAGATAAGGGTCTCAATAATTAACTCCAAAATAATCTTAGAATAAAATACAAAAATGACTTGGATTTTGGTTATGCAATAGGGGTTTGTCTAACCTTTCAGGTTGCAGGAAATCTGCAGCCATTCTGCCAGCCAAGTTCGACACCGCTCTTCAGCAATAAGGGTAGAATTCAAGCCACGAAGATAACAAGCCTGTAACACTCAGAAGAGAAAGGTCCTTAATCATCAGAGCGAGTATGCCAAGGAAGTGTAAACCTACAACCCCAAATCTCCTTTAAATTAAGTTACAACCTCATCCCAAGAGAATGGCATTCTCCATAGCAATCTGAACTATGATGACAAGCAAAGAGGCCTATATAATCTAAAACAGTAGGTCTAACGTATAATGCCTTTTTTTTTTTTAATCCTCACCCAAGGATATTTTCTCCATTGAGTTTTTTAGAGAGTGGAAGGGAGGATGTGGACGGGAGAGAAAGAGAAACATCGACGTGAGAGACACATCAGTTGGCTGCCTTCTGCACGCGCCCCGACCTGGGCTGGGGATTGAGGCTGCAATCAAGGTATGTGCCTTCAGTCCATGGGCCGGTGCTCTAACCACTAAGCAAAATCGGCTAGGACTAATGTCCTTGGTTTTTGGTGTTTTTTTAAAAATATATTTTGTATTGATTTCAGAGAGGAAGGGATAGGGAGAGATAGATTGAAACATCTATGATGAAAGAGAATCACTGATCAGCTGCTTCCTGTACGCCTCCTACTGGGGATTGCAACCTGGGCATGTGCCCGTGACCAGAATCGAACCTGGAACCCTTCAGTCTGCAGGCTGGTGCTCCATCAACTGAGCCAAACCGGCTAGGGCAGTGGTCGGCAAACTCATTAGTCAACAGAGCCAAATATCAACAGTACAACGATTGAAATTTCTTTTGAGAGCCAAATTTTTTAAACTTAAACTATATAGGTAGGTACATTGTTATTAACTTAATTAGGGTACTCCTAAGGCTTAGGAGCCACACTCAAGGGGCCAAAGAGCCACAGTTTGCCGGCCGCGGGGCTAGGGAATTGTCCCTGATTTCTGAAGGACCAGAAGAAAAGAAACATAAACCATAATGAGTGTGGACAATTCCTTCCCAGTAGTTAAGTTCACTGAGGGGGGAAAAAAGACCTAGAAATGAGGTAAGAGAATAAAAAGCTTGGATTCTGCTATACCAAGCAAGACATAACAAGCTCTCTGTAAGCTCCCAGTCCTGAAAACTCAAAAGTCCACCAAGAATTGAGGGTTGATATTGCAATGAAGCTCTTACCGATTTCACTTCCTGATCAGTCAGCTGGTTAATCCCCAGCTTTGCCAAAGCCTTGTCTAGTTGATGAATCACAGTGGTATGAGTCTTTAAACGATGTCTTAACAAGGGAGAAGGCAGGTAAGTTGTGAGAAGCATGGCTCGACTCAAGGCTTTCTGTGATATTAACAACACAGGAGGAGCAAGTCAACATAGTAGTATTACTGCAAGCAAAGACCTGAAGTTGTGGAAAAGAGAAAGCCTTAGAGTACTCACTATTTGCGAAGCATGGAGTTGATTCATGCCCAGAGGATGGTTAGAGAAACTCTTTCTCAGAGCTAGGATCTCTTGTATTGCTGGGTGGGTACCACGCCGTATCTTGGGAGAGGTAAGAGATTGGTAGATGTTAACAAAGTCCTGACTAGCCTTCCTATCTGATTTTCATGCACACTGGATCTAATAAGATTCCTAGTTTGGAACAAGGGTTAATTGGAGGAATACCTTGGTGCACAGCTCTGTCATATGCCACCGGAGTCCTTCATCAGAAATGAGAGGGATAACTTTTTCCAAATAAGAAAGGACTTCTGGGTGGGACTTTTTCCGGATATCATGATAGATATGTAAGAAATCAATTTGTTGCTTTGGGGTCCAGAAATGTCTGATCAGCAGTTGCCTAGGAAACAGGTACCTGAAAGGAAAGGAACAACAGTCACTTGCTGACATTGGCATCTTTCTTTTCTTTTTTTTAATTTTTTTTTTTTTTTATTGCTTAAAGTATTACAAAGAGTATTACATATGTCTCCTTTTTTCCCCCCGCCCTTGACAATCCCCTGGCCTCCCCTACCCCCCAGTGTCTTATGTCCATTGGTTATGCTTATATGCATGCATACAAGTCCTTCGGCTGATCTCTTACCGCCCCCTTCTAGCCCCCCCACCCTCCCCGGCCTTCCTGATGTAGTCTGACAGTCTGATCGAGGCAGCTCTGCCTCTGTATCTATTATTGTTCATAAGTTTATAATGGTCTTTATTATCCATAAATGAGTGAGATCATGTGGTATTTTTCCTTCATTGACTGGCTTATTTCACTTAGCATAATGCTCTCTAGTTCCATCCATGCTGTTGCAAATGGTAAGAGTTCCTTCCTTTTTACAGCAGCGTAGTATTCCATCCTGTAGATGTACCATGGTTTTCTAATCCATTCATCTACTGATGGGCACTTAGGCTGTTTCCAGATCTTAGCTATGGTGAATTGTGCTGCTATGAACATAGGGGTGCATATATCCTTTCTGGTTGGTGTTTCTGGTTTCTTGGGATATATTCCTAGAAGTGGGATCACAGGGTCAAATCTTTCAAAGTGAATAAAGAAAGCATTTGACAGACATGAATAATAAAAAGAGATGGAGACACTGCTTTGCTAACACACCGTCTCAGACCAAGGTCTAAGATACACTGAAGTATAATTTCAAGCAACATTACTGAGGTTCTGTGAAAGGAAGTAGTAGTGGAAGAAGCACACATGCAGCAATCAAATAAAATGACTTTTTGAACTAAAGCAAGTGAAGAACATATTTTGGACAGAATTACAGAGCTGGACATGGTATGTAATGCTGACAACCTCAAATAGTAACACAGTCCTTAGGTGTATACAAAATGGAAAAGACAAATTTGCTTTTAATTAATTTCTCTATCTGTGAAGTGGGTTTAAAACATGGCCATAGCCCTAGCAGGTCTGGCTCAGCGCATAGAGCATCGGCCTGTGGATTGAATGGTCCCGGGTTCGATTCTGGTCAAGGGTACATGCCCAGGTTGCAGGCTCGATCCCCAGTAGGGGGGCACTCAGGAGGCAGCCAATGAATGATTCTCTCTCATCATTGATGTTTCTATCTCTCTCTCCCTTCCTCTCTGAAATCAATAAAAATATGTTAAAAAACAAGACAAAAAGCATGGCCACAAATTCTCTGGCACTCCTCTTATTGAGAAATGTCCCTTTTTAAAATCTGGGTAAATGACTCAACCAATAGAAGAGAGCAGAAGTGAGTCTTGACCTCCAAGGCTAGGTTATAAAAGGCCATGCAGATTCTTATTTGCTGACATACTCACTCTTAAACCAGCAGTCGGGTATCCCCCGAGGAGTCCCAAATTGGAGAGGGTGCAGGCAGGGCAGAGGGGAACCCTCTCCCATACACGAATTTCGTGCACTGGGCCTCTAGTTATTAATAACGAACTACAGCATTCACTAATGACTGATTACAATAATCGTGTTGCATTCATTTCCCTTTCGCGCCTTACACCCAGGCGCACCATTTCTCTCCATTAATACTAACAGCAAATATTTTAGCAGCGGATTGCCATGTCATTAGTCTTGTACTGACTTGTTTATTGTGCTCAACAGGAAATATTTCGCTTTCAGACAACAAGAAAAATAGGTTTATTTGTGTTATGCTTATTAATTTGTGCAGTTATTCCGTGTCTGTTAAGTTAATGTTCAAGAAAAAATATTAACTTTTATTAAAATGTTCTATTATTTTGTGTTAACAATTACTCATTTATTTCAGCCCTTTGTATTCAGCATGTCTCTATCGAAATAAACCTACATTTCTATGAAAATTGAAGCTTTTGTTTTTTTGCAGCCCACATAAACCTAAACCTTGTTTATTTGAACCGTGTTAGCCTTTGAGTTTGACATGCTTGACACCTACATCTACAGCTGTTTAAGAAACCTAGGTATTACTGAGTGGCTTTTATGAACCTTGGGCTAATGCTAATGAAAAGATTAGAGCAGGAAGTTTGATAACTTCTGCCTAGCTTCTGAAATGGAAAGTTCTTCTTACATAAATTTATTTATCATCAATATGCCAGAGAGAGAGAAGTCTATACTCACATTAGCAAGAAGACCAGGTAGTTGGCAAAGGGTGGAATGGAAATAATACCCAGAAAAAAACACTTGGTGACATCTCGACGAAACTAAGCAGAAATAAACACAGATGCAGTTTTAACCCACATTCTTAATGGACAATCCCTCCATCCCACTGTGCAGTAAACTCCTGCAGCCCAGCGAAGGATCAAGGTTACTGCTATCTACATGTAGTTGGTAAGTTCCTTGAGAACAGAGCCCTGATTGACTTTTGTATCCCAAATATTGTCTAATACGTACAGGCACCTGACATTATACCAAATACCTCAGTGAGTTCTTCCTGCTCTGCAGAACGGGTCCTAGAATCTTACTCTCAGCTCCAAAGCGACTCCAGTCACCACCCAATATTACTTTCCTGCTGCCTTTTAGAACCTTGCAAATTTTTATACGTTCAGAAAAAAAACTGACTTTTAGTGTTTACAATTTTTATTTAGGAAGTGTGCCCCAAATTCTATGCAGCTCTGCTATGGAGGACTATAACTCTGAAAGAATCCAATTCTGACAAATAGTCTGATACTCTCATTTAGTTCAATACTTTAATCTCGTGGCAAAGGGCAAAAGCCTGATCAGCGGGGAACAAAATAGAAAAGAAAATAACTTGAGATCTTGGTTAATTTCTATTACCTCACCATGCACTCTGGGTATCTGTCCCTGGCCCATACCTGTCTCAAATGCTCCATCTCCCGGTATGAAAGTTGATGAAACTTTACATTGTGCTTCACCATATCTGCCTTTATTCTTCTAGACTTTTTGGCATCAGCCCATAACTTCTGCAATCCTGCCTCATTAAAGTAGAGGACAGAGTGTGATGTTACCCCAGTTTGAATCATACCACAGCTTCCTATTTCAAGTTTACCCACTGTACGCAAACTTGTCCCTGCCCAACATTACTCTACATCAAAGCTCCCATCTAGGTCACTTGAAATTCTTGTGAGGCCAACCTGTATCCTTTTCTCATCCCCTTTTCCCGCAGCACATCCCTTCTCTTCTCGCCAAGTGGGCCTTCTGTGATCTACTATGGAATGGTCTCCCTTTTGTGGTTTATTACTCATTCCTTTTTTAAAAAAGTCCTCACCAGAGTATCTTTTTTTTTTTTTTAAATATATTTTATTGACTTTTTACAGAAAGGAAGGGAGAGAGATAGAGAGTTAGAAACATCGATGAGAGAGAAACATCGATCAGCTGCCTCCTGCACATCTCCCACTGGGGATGTGCCCGCAACCCAAGGGCATGACCGGAATCAAACCCGGGACCTTTCAGTCCGCAGGCTGACGCTCCATCCACTGAGCCAAACCGGTTTCGGCCAGAGGATCTTTTTTCCATTAATTTTTTTTTTTTTTTAAATATATTTTATTGATTTCTTACAGAGAGGAAGGGAGAGAGATAGAGAGTCAGAAACATCGATGAGAGAGAAACATCGATCAGCTGCCTCCTGCACATCTACCACTAGGGATATGCCCGCAACCCAGGTACATGCCCTTGACCGGAATCGAACCCGGGACCCTTCAGTCCGCAGGCCGACGCTCTATCCACTGAGCCAAACCGGTTTCGGCCATTAATTTTTTAAAAATATATTTTTATTGATTTCAGAGAGGAAGGGAAAGTGAGAAAACGAGATAGAAACATCAATGATGAGAGAATCATTGATCAGCTGCCTCCTCCACACCCACTACTGGGGATTGAGCCCAAAACGTGGGCACGTGCCCTTGACTGGAATCGAACCTGGGACCTTTCAGTTCACAGGCTGACACTCTATCCACTGAGCCAAACCAGTTAGGGCTCCATTGATTTTTATGATGTGTTTTTCCCCCACTGATTTTTAGAGAGAGTGGAAGGGAGAGAGGGAAGGGGAATGAGGGAAGAGGGAAGGGAGAAGAGAAGAAAGGAAAAAGAGAAACATGGATGTGAGAGAGACACATCGATTGGTTGCCCATGTATGTGGCCTTGACCAGAATCAAATGCTTGACCCTTTGCTGTGTGGGCCAATTCTCTAACCACTGAACACACCGGCCAGGGTGTCATTCCCTTTTTAAAATAAAAATTCAGGGGACGGGGGCGGGCTGGAGAGGGTCAATGGGGGAAAAACAGGGACATATGTAATACTTTCAACAATAAAGATTTAAAAAAATAAAAATTCGCCCTGGCTGAGTGACTCAATTGATTAGCGTATCATCCTGTACACCAAAAGGTTGTGGGTTTGACTTCTGGTCAGGGCACATACCTAGGTTGTGGTTCGATCCCAGTTGGGGGTCATAAGATAGGCAACTGATGTTCCTCCCTCCCTCCCTCTCTCTCTAGAAAATCAATAAAAACATATACTTGGGTGAGAATTAAAAAAATAAAAATTCAAAGTTTGCTAACCTCAGGAAGTCTTGCTCAATCAACCCTATGTATTCCCTAACCAGATATTTATCTCCTTTCTAGAACATTTGTATAATTACTGTAATTCAACATATTTCTATGATTGCATTTTGCTCTTCATTACATAATTCTTACATTTATCTAGAACTTTAGTTTTTAAAAATGCTTTCCTATTTATGAGTGAAATGATAGAATGTCTAGGTTGGCTTCAAAATAATACAGGAGAAGGCATGTTTAGAAATGAAATAAGCCGGGGCCGGTTTGGCTCAGTGGATGGAGCGTCGGCCTGCGGACTGAAGGGTCCTGGGTTCGATTCCGGTCAGGGGCATGTACCTGGGTTGCGGGCACGTCCCCAGTGGGAGATGTGTGGGAGGCGGCAGATCGATGTTTCTCTCTCATCGATGTTTCTGGCTCTCTCTCTCTCTCTCTCCCTTCCTCTCTGTGAAAAATCAATAAAATATATTTAAAAAAAAAAAAAAAAGAAATGAAATAAGATTGGCTGAAGTGAGGTTGAGTACACTGGAGTTCATTATATTACTTTCTCTACTCCTGTGTATGTCTAAATTTTTCCATAATAAAAGGCTTAACAACAAACCAACCAAAACGCTTTCACACCCTTTTCTATTTGATCCTAGTTATAAAGTGGGAGCAGACAAAGCAGCCATTTTTTATCTCCACTTTACAAATACGGGTAAGCAATTTGCAAATCCACAAAGCTAGTAATAATTATGATACTATGTGGTAGTTTATTGTAACTGGTATTATGACAAAAGTATAGAGAATAATAACAGTTATAGTACATTTATTGAGCACTTACTAAGAATCAGGCCTTAAATACTTTACATGTATCAATTTAATCTCCACAACCATGAGGTCAACAGGTAGGTTCCATTATTATCCCCAATTCACAGGGAAGAAAACCAAAGGACAGCCCGGCCTGTGTGGGTCACGGGTTGAGTGTGGACCTATGAACCAGGAGGCTGCAGTTGGAGTCCGGGTCAGGGCACATGCCCAGGTGTCTGGCTCGGTCCCCAGTGGGGGGCGTGCAGGAGGCAGCCGATCAACGATTCTCATCATCGATGTTTCTGTCTCTCTCTCCCTCTCCCTCTCCCTTCCTCTCAGAAGTCAATAAAAATATATACTAAAAAGAAAAAGAAAAAGAAAAAAACCCAAAGGACAGAGGTTAAGTAGTCCAATCAGCCAGTGACAAGCTGGGATTTGAACCCAGGCACTCTGGCTCTGGAGGGGACGCTGACACTATACCATCTCCTGGTGACTAGCAGAGCTCTGATCGGGACCAAAACAGCCCGAAACCAAGTACTACAGCACTATTTCCACCACATGCTCCCTAGGACAGATCTGTGATAAGCATTAAACCACATTTCTTATGGGCCAAGTCAACTGCTAAATCAAAGGGCAGTTCTGTGCAGCCATAGATCCCTGCCCTTAATGCACGACAAAGAACTTCTACTGCCCTGACCAGTTTGGCTCAGTGGGTAGAGCGTCGGCCTGCCGACTCAAGGGCCCCAGGTTCGATTCCGGTCAAGGGCATGTACCTTGGTTGCGGGCACATCCCCAGTAGGGGGTGTGCAGGAGGCAGCTGATAGATGTTTCTAACTCTCTATCCCTCTCCCTTCCTCTCTGTAAAAAAATCAATAAAACATATTAAAAAAAAAAAGAACTTCTACTATAGTCAAGTGTGTGGTTAAAGAAGTGCAAAAATACCTATATTCCTTCTGGATATTGTTAGAAGTTGTCTTTTTTTTTTTTTTTAATATATTTTATTCATTTTCTACAGAGAGGAAGGGAGAGGGATAGAGAGGTAGAAACATCGATGAGAAACATCGATCAGCTGCCTCCTGCACACTCCCCACTGGGGATGTGCCCGCAACCAAGGTACATGCCCTTGACCGGAATCGAACCTGGGGCCCTTGAGTCCGCAGGCCGACGCTCCATCCACTGAGCCAAACCGGCTAGGGCAGAAGTTGTTTCTAATAAAACCTTCCTAGAAACATCCTCAGGAAGCGCTAACTTATAACATTAAGTTTAATACTCAAGCATTTGTGAAACATAAGACATCCCAGCTCACGTTCCCAGAGCAAAACCTGCAAATTATCTTGCTCGAACCCTCTGACATCGCCCGCGAGCCGGTTCTGCCGGTTCCCGCTTCAGCTCTGTTTTTACCTTTTGTGAAGGTGGTGTACAGGAGATAGAAGCGGGGGAAATTACGTTCCAAAAACCGATGGTATTTCCCATTGATCGCTTTTGTCTTAGTCGCCACGTAAGAGATTAAGCTCTTCACATCTGCCTTCGGGGAAAGGTGAAGCTTTGAAGACCTACAGGGAGGACCGGAAAGACCGTCTGGGAGTCCGCCCCAAGCGCCCTGCCCGCGGGGCGTCCCCAGCGTCACGCGCGGGCCGCGGAGAACGTTTGCCGAGACCCGAAACCTGCGGATACCAGGAAGGCCTTGGGATCCAGAGAGAAGCAATCACACCGAGAAAAACACAACGGGGGCAGACGAGAGGCCGGGCAGCAAGCGGTGGCGGGCAGCGGCCCGAGTCCGGCGCGAGCGCGGCACCGGGGGGCCAGGGCGGCGGGAAAGGCCGGAGCCGTGGGGTCGAGGCGAACACCCGGACAGCCCGGGCCGGAAGCGGGAGGCTGAGAGCTGACCTCGCGAGACGCTGGGCACTCAGACTATACGGGGCACTCAGAATTCAGAGCGTCAAGACGCCAGGGCACTAGCGGGGGTCGGGGCGCGATTTCTGAGCAAAAGGATAAAAACCCCCAGGTCAGGGCGTGGAACCCTGACAACCAAGAGACAGCATGCAAGCAAAGATAAGACACTGGAAGGGCCTGTACATCAGAAATGCGGCTTCCTCCAGGGCCCTCACCAGGGGGCTCCCCAGGCCGGTCCAGAGCGAACAAGCTGCGGCCTCCGCGTGACATAAGGTCGAGGGGTGACCGCCGAACCCCGCAGAGCAGCTCGAGTCCAGCACAGCCTGGAGAGTGCCATCTTCTCGGCGAGGGAGGGGGAGGAAAGGTCTTCAGGTCAAGGTTCACCGTGATGCGCGTCCCTTTGACGGCGCATGCGCATTTCTTGAGAACTGATTGGCAACCACAGACCGCTGGCCTCGCGCTAACCCGGCACTGAACGCGCGCTGAGGCCTGAGTGCAGAAGCAGGGCCAGGATTGGACGCAGCCAGTACTTCCTGTTTTCAAGGCGCCGGAAGCAGGCTATCCCCGAAGGAGTGAGTGCTTCTGCCCGTGGTAGGCTCTGTGATCTTGAGGACGTCCTCTCTCTGAGTGACCCCTCTCGATTCCCTAGGGCCGCGCTTGCCCTCTGTCCGAGTCTCCTGCATCGGCGCCTGGACGCGGTACGTGCCAGATGTCCATTTGGCAATGTCTGGGGCCACGGCGCCTCCTGGGTGCTGGGAGGACCCGCGGCGCCCTCTGGTGGCGGCGGCGTGCCTAGGCCGGGAACCACCCGTGGCCAGTTAACATCTGGTGGCAAAGGTCGGGAGCCTGGGAGCGGCCCCTGGGCGAACCGAGTCGGCTTTTCCCTTTGTCGGCTTTTCCCTTTGCCGGCGTTCCCCAAGTTCGGTGGGGAAATGTCTTTCCTTAAGCACCTCCTGCAGACCAAGCTCGGGTCTCAGCTTGAATGTCATTTTTCTTCTGAAAGTTTTTCTCTGACCAAAGGACACACATTTTCTCTTACCACCCTGTGTATTTTTTTAATAGCACTTACCACTGACATCGTTTATATGTTTTGTTTCCTTGTTTGGCAGGCTCCCTAACTAGGCTGAGGGCAGTGTTCTGTCTCGTTCACTGCTATACCCTAATTAATTTTTAACAAATTAATTAATAACTGAAACTGGGAAGGGTTCCCAGAAGTGGCACTTAGCTGCCTCCAACAGTTAAGACCTCTTGAATACATAGGAACCCTTTGAGTGCCAACCCATATCCTAGGGACTATGCTAAAATTGCCAAGGCATTTTTGCTGATTCTACAGCAGTTTAGGAAAAAAATTATGAATCGCAAGTAAATGAAGTTACATATTCAAAAACTTAAGGAAACCTTTACTACATTGACATATTTAGCAATAGCATCATCACTTAATAAAAGCAGACTTAGAACTGGACGCCGCGGCGAAGCTTTGATAGCGCTCCCGGCACTTTTGGCGGAAGGGCACTCTAGGGGTTAATACAGGGTGGGGGCAAACGTAGGTTTACAGTTGTTTGTATGGAAAATAATACAGTAATAAATAGTAATTCAAGAATAAACTCTGGTTTCTGTGGTAGGCAGTTAGACATGAGCAGGGCCAGGTACGAAGGTCACCAGCCTGGAAAAGCCCCAGGTACCCAATGGAACAACAATGGAAACATCCATTCGGGTAACTGCTAGAGCTTGTTGGGCGGCGGGGCGGGGGGATGGAGAGGGAAGGAGGGGCTTTCAAGTTTCCTCTGACCCTAAGGATAAAGTCCAGGCTCCTTAGGGCCTCCCTTCCCGGCCTCATCTCCTGTCCCGTTGTCTCTCTTTCCCCTTAGCTCCCTCTGCTAAGGAATATTGGCCTTTCAGTTCCGCCAAAGGCCAGGCAGGCCGCTTTATACCCCTGGCCTTTTGCACCTGTTGCTCTCTGCTTGGCGGTTCTCCCCTCCCTTCTAGCTTGTCTTGCAGGCTCCAGCTGAAATGGTGGTAATAATAGCTAACACTTATTGAGCAGATACCACTGCCATCATTGTTCTTAGGGCTTTACCTGTATTAAGTGGTTTAATCCTCACTTAACTTCATGAGGTAGATACTATTGTTAGCTCCACTTCCTAAGCGAGGTTAAGTAACCTAATCAGTATCTGAGTCAGCAGTTGAACCCAGACAGACTGGGTACATGAATTACTGCAGTTTGTGTATAAACAGCGCTGTTACAGGAAACTCTTTCTTAAGCCCACGGAGTTAGGTTTCCCTGTTACTCATCTTGTAGCTAGCTATAATTATCCTTCATAGTACTTAAAATAATTAACTATAGCATTGTGCTCTTTTTTTTGCATTTTAATTTCTTTATTGATTAAGGTATTGCATATGTGTCCTTAACCCCCCCCCATTGCCCCCCACTCCCCCTCACTCAGCATTATGCTCTTAATGACTGCTCCCCATTTGATTCTAAGCTCACTGTATTTCTGGTCCCTGGCATAGGAGGTGCTTATTAAGTACTTATTAACTGGCCAAAACCGGTTTGGCTCAGTGGATAGAGCGTCGGCCTGCGGACTCAAGGGTCCCAGGTTCGATTCTGGTCAACGGCATGTACCTGGGTTGCGGGCACATCCCCAGTAGGAGATGTGCAGGAGGCAGCTGATCGATGTTTCTCTCTCATCGATGTTTCTGACTATCTCTCTCCCTTCCTCTCTGTAAAAAAATCAATAAAATATATTTTTTAAAAAAAAGTATTTATTAACTGAATACATATACCTGAGTATAAAGTAATATTTTTCCTCTCAAAATAATTCCTTTGAGCCCACCCAGCATGGTTGAGCATTGACCTATGAACCAGGAGGTCACGGTCAGGCACATGCCCGGGTTGCAGGCTCAATCCCCAGGGTGGGACCTGCAGGAGGCAGCCGATCAATGATTCTCATCATCGATGTTTCTATCTCTCCCTCTCCCTTCCTCTCTCTGAAAGCAATAAAAAATATATTTGAAAAATAATAATTCCTTTGAAAGGAAATTGCTTTATATTTTGTGTTCTTTTTTTTCACTAATAAATAGTTAATTTATTCACTAATTCCACAATTATTGAGCTTCGACCCAGGCCAGGCATTGTTTTTGTTGCTTGAGATAAATCAGAGATTAGATAGATAAAAAGTACAGCCCTACCTGGATGGTGTGATGTGATCAGTGTGATCAGTGGTTGAGCGTCAACCTATAAACCAGGAGGTCACAGTTCAATTCCCAGCCGGGGCACATACCTGGGTTATGGACTCCATCTCGAGTTGGGGGTGTGCAGGAGGCAGCTGATCAGTGATTCTCTCTTATTGTTTCTATCTCTCTTTCCCTCTCCCTTCCTCTGAAATAAATAAAAATTTATTTTAAATAATAATTGTGCTTCCCCTTCTCCCCTCTCCCTCTCTCTTCACCGCTCTCCACCAGGTGAGGGCACTGTGGGAAGGCAGCAAGCCAGAGAGAGCGCCATTTCCAGAAACCAAACCAGGTGGCTTCCCGATTTTGGACTTCCTGCATCCTGAACTGAGAAAATAAATATTTATTATTTAAGCCACACAATCTATGATATCAGTTCTAGGTTTATTTATTTATTTACTTAGTCCCGGGTTTAGGACTCAAATGCCCAGAAGGGCCCAGCACAGGAGAGAATGAGTGCCCCCTGGGAAAGATGCCCCGGGTGCTTTGTTACATTGTGTCAGATCCTCCACATTTGCAGGAGAAGCCAGACATTCAAGTTTGTAAAGGTTGGCACTAATTTGAAAAGATTTTAAGAGGAAAAAAAATAACTGTACTATCACGTGAGAGGTGCTGTAACAGGAAAATGTTAAGGTACAGTGAGAGTTAAAGGAAGGAGCAGTAATAAATTCTGGTGGTGGTGATGGTGGTGCATCCAGATGCAGAGAAGTCATGTTTGAACTAGATCACGGAGGATAAATTGGAGACTGACGAAGACAAGTACTGCGAGGACTGGCTTTTTGGAAAGAGGGAACGGAATGTGCAAAGATAAGAAAGACTGGAGACAGGAGAACCAAGATGGCGGCATAGGTTAACGCCAGAGTTTGCTGCTTTGAACAACTACTTCAAAAGTGAAACCAAAAAACGGAAGGGACATCACCCAGAACCACAGGAACGCTGGCTGAGTGGAAGTCCTACAACTAGGAGGAAAGAGAAACGCATACGGACACTCAGAGGAGGCACAGTGCTAAAGTCAAATTCTGAGGTGCGGAGTGCGCGCAGCGGGCTGGCGGCGGAGGGCGCGGTTGGCATTTTCAATCGGGAGGGAGTCGCAGACTCTGAGCTCCAGATACGGGTGAGTCTTTAGGGACCCAGACTCAAACGGGAGAAGCGGGACTGTCTGGCTTCGGTCAGAGCGAGTGCAGCTTTCTCTCTGAGCTTTGCAGCGGGTGCTGGGACTCAGAGAGGCAGAGCCCCTGGGGACAGGACTGAGAGCCGCCATAACTGCTCTCTCTGGCCCACCCTGTTGATCCTGTGCGACCCGCCCCGCCCAAGCCCTGCACAGAGGCATTTGCCGGATAGCCTCAGGCAAAGGCTAGATTAGCACCTCCCTAGAGGACAGAAGTTCTCTCACTGCTGACACAGCTGATTCTCATAGCCACTTGGCCTGGAGGTCAAACCCTCCCTGGAATTAGCTACAACAATCAAGATTTAACTATAAGACTGCGAACAAAGACCACTAGGGGGTGCACCAAGGAAGCATAACAAAATGCGGAGACAAAGAAACAGGACAAAATTGTCAATGGAAGATATAGAGTTCAGAACCACACTTTTAAGGTCTCTCAAGAACTGTTTAGAAGCCGCCGATAAACTTAATGAGATCTACAAGAAAACTAATGAGACACTCGATCTTATATTGGGGAACCAACTAGAAATTAAGCATACACGGACTGAAATAATGAATATTATACAGACTCCCGACAGCAGACCAGAGGAGCGCAAGAATCAAGTCAATGATTTGAAATGCGAGGAAGCAAAAAACACCCAACTGGAAAAGCAAAATGAAAAAAGAATCCAAAAATGCGAGGATAGTGTAAGGAGCCTCTGGGACAGCTTCAAGCGTACCAACATCAGAATTATAGGGGTGCCAGAAGATGAGAGAGAGCAAGATATTGAAAACCTATTTGAAGAAATAATGACAGAAAACTTCCCCCACCTGGTGAAAGAAATGGACTTACAGGTCCAAGAAGCGCAGAGAACCCCAAACAAAAGGAATCCAAAGAGGACCACACCAAGACACATCATAATTAAAATGCCAAGAGCAAAAGATAAAGAGAGAATCTTAAAAACAGCAAGAGAAAGAAACTCAGTTACCTACAAGGGAATACCCATACGACTGTCAGTTGATTTCTCAACAGAAACTTTGCAGGCCAGAAGGGAGTGGCAAGAAATATTCAAAGTGATGAATACCAAGAACCTACAACCAAGATTACTTTATCCAGCAAAGCTATCATTCAGAATTGAAGGTCAGATAAAGAGCTTCACAGATAAGGAAAAGCTAAAGGAGTTCATCACCACCAAACCAGGATTATATGAAATGCTGAAAGGTATCCTTTAAGAAGAGGAAGAGGAAGAAAAAGGTAAAGATACAAATTATGAACAACAAATATGCATCTATCAGCAAGTGAATCTAAGAATCAAGTGAATAAATAATCTGATGAGCAGAATGAACTGTTGATTATAATAGAATCAGGGACATAGAAAGGGAATGGACTGACTATTCCTGGGGGGGAAAGGGGTGTGGGAGATGCGGGAAGAGACTGGACAAAAATCATGCACCTATGGATGAGGAGAGTGGGTGGGGAGTGAGGGCAGAGGGTGGGGTGGGAACTGGGAGGAGGGGAGTTATGGGGGGAAAAAAAAGAGGAACAAATGTAATAATCTGAACAATAAAGATTTAATAAAAAAAATAAATAAATAAATAAAAATAAAAGAATAAAAAAAAAAAAAAAAAAAAAGAAAGACTGGAAACTTTTCAGGAAAAGATAAATCTCTTGCCAGGACAGATCATAGCTGCAGTGACTTGCCACCTTTAGATACGGATTCATTGAGTTTGACAGGTTGGTTTGTGACAAGTTATTCTTCCCAAGGCACTGAAAAAAAAGTGTCAGCATGAAAGAATTTTAATAACCAAGGGTTTGTATTAAAACTTCTTACTTGCATTCCTTTTTTCTTAAGTGTTAAAAATGTTTTAAAAGGAAAAGAACAAAGAATATTATAACATTCATCTATGTGTCTACCACCCAAAATGAATAAATAGTGTCAGACCTATTTTCTCCCAAGTCCCATTTCCCTTTCTTCCTTTAGGCTGCCCCTTTATGTCAGTCCACTTTTAATACTTTGTGTATATATACAGGGTGTCCCCCCAAAATGTTTACACACTCTGAATAATTATATATTCCAGTGTTTAAATCTGAAAAAGAAAACATCAATTAAGCTGTCAGATGTTAAAGTGTGTATACATTTATACCCTGTATTTGAGCATTTATATGACAATTTATATTTATATATAAATAAGTAGTATATAGTATATTTTTAAGATATATTTTATTGATTCTTTACAGAGAGGAAGGGCGAGGAATAGAGAGTTAGAAACATCGATAAGAGAGGAACATCGATCAGCTGCCTCCTGCACACCCCCTACTGGGGATATGCCTGCAACCAAGATACATGCCCCTGACCGGAATCGAACCTGGGACCCCTCAGTCTGCAGGCCGACGCTCTATGCACCAAGCCAAACCGGCCAGGGCTCTATAGTATTTTTTAATGTTTTAAATACTCCAGCGCACTCTGCCTCCCGGAGCATGTCTGAGCCTTTCCCTTCCTCCTCTTCTCCAATAGCCATGCCTCTCCTACACTCTGAGGGTCCCCATAAGATTTGCCACCAGGGGAACAACGTGCAGTGGCAGCTCCTCCTGGGCTAACCCTCGGAGCCTGTCACCACGGCCCCCTTTTCTCTGGTTTTCCAGTGAGCTGACAGCAGCCCGGCCTTGGCTCCTTTCTTTCCCATAACGTTTCTAGAGAGCCAAAGCAGCCTGGCCTAGGAGTCTCTCTCCTGTTGCTGCTTCTATCCTAAGCCCTTCCTTGTTTCACTGTCCCCAACTTTCATAAACGTGCTCTCAAAATAAAATAAGAAACCATATATTTGGTTTCATGTTGTAACTGGACAACCAATGGGTCCAGACTGCCTGTCACGACTTGAGCCAATCAAGTGAAGACAGAGCTGAATCATCTATGAGCATTTATTCCAGTACTGCTGGGAGAATGGGAGAGTAGCAGGTCACCCACAAACATCTGCTCTCCAGCCCCCCAGAAGCCAGCTGCTTATATTGGGTAGGACAAAGATTACATGGGGGAGCAGGAATCCTGGGCATGGGGAAGCAGGCAAGGTGGGCTGTGGGAAGCTGGGGCCGGACGCCATTGATGGGCCTCATTCCAAGGTTGACTCCCAGGTCCTGGGGATGTACAACTCCCAGCCAGGTTCACATGTGCTTTCTTAAATCAAAACAAAACAATCACGGTTAACAGAGCATGATTAATATTTATTTCTTATAGCTAGTCCCCAATATTCTATTTCTGCCCCTAACAATGTGGCATTTTTCTGTTTTGTTTCCCTCAAATTTTTCAGAATTCATCCATGTGATGATAGAGATCAAGTTCATTAATGTTAGCTGCTGTGCGTTGTTCCATCACAAGAATACACTCCAGTTTGTTTACCTCTTTGCTACTGATAGACATTCACAGTGCTTTCATGTTTCATTATTACAAACACACCATTGCAGGGAACATCCGCGAAGATGTCTCTTTGTTCTTAGGTATAAGAAACTTAAGCAGTGTTTTCAGACTGGTTTTTAACCGTGACTCATAGTAAACACATTTTATATCAAAATTCACTTCTTACATTTTATATTCTATTTCATTTTTTGTAAAATGCTTGACACAACCCACTTGATTGATTTCAGGACCCACCAGTGGATTGAGAAACACACTGCTCTAAGGCAATAGACTCTGGGACAAAGGATGTGTGTTTTTTCACCTTGAGCAAGTAACATGTTGCTCTCCAAAGCAGTTGTATCAGTTTTACAAGATAAGAGTCCTCCTAGCTTCTCTGCACCCTCATGATGGAAGAAAAGGGTGCTGTAATAAATCTCACCAAAGGTAACCTCACAGGGTGATCTCCTCATAAATTCCTAACTGGGAAGGTCATGCTGGGCAGTTTTGCCCAGGCCTGTAACTTCTTTAGTGAAAGGTTTTTAAATTACCCTGTCCATTGTTCGTGTGCATCTAGGTTAACCTTTTAAGAAATAGAGATACTTTTTATTGATTTCAGAAAGGAAAGGAGAGGGGGAGAGAGCTACAGAAACATCAATGATGAGAATTATTGATTGGCTGCCCCCTGCACGCCCCCTACTGGGGATCAAGCCCACAATGTGGCCAGCCGTGTGTCCTGACCGGTAATCTAACCATGACCTCCTGGTTCATGGGTCGACACTCAACAACTGAGCCACACCAACTGGGCTGTAAGGTCCCTCCTTAATGTGCAT